ATCTCCCTGGGGTGGGGATGGGGGCACGCACAGGGATCTCCCTGGGGGGTGCACACAGGGGACTCTCCCCTGTGGTGCTGGTGGCTCCTGGAGACCAGCTGAGCCTCCCTACTATAGTTAGCAGCAGCCCCTCTGCGATGCTTCGCGCTCCGCTCGGGAGGCGATTTCCAGCCTTGGCCAGACTTCCATTTCCCTCACTGCTCGTGGCTGCCTGCCAGGGCTCGCACAGCGACTGGGAAGCGCTGACACCTGGGGTGGGGTGGGGGGGTGGCCATGGCGAGGTGATGCTGCTCCGTGGTTCAGAGCTGGAGCTCCCCTGCGATGTGTCTGGCTCTGGGAGTGTTTTACTCATGCTTCTCCTTTGAGGGGCGGCAGCGCCCAGGAATACCCGTCCTGCCCTGCGGGGCTCAGCTCCGGCCTCTCAGCCTCCATTCAGAGCCAGAGTGGTCGGAAGGGGCGTTGGGTCCAGTGCTGGAGCCAGGGTCTTTGGTGCCCAGCACAGTTTGCTACGGAGTCCAACCCTTGTGTTTCCAGCCCTTCTGGCTGCAGAGCAGCCAACGGGTTTCACATGGACCTGAGGCAGAGCTGTTGTCCTGAGTCTGCAGGGAGCCTGAAACAATAGCTCTGAGTGGTGTGGCCTAAATTGGGCATTAACTGTGAACACTAGTGAGGACTGCCCACCTCGCCTGGGTACGCTGGGCTAGAGAGCGCCGTGTTCTCCAGACACGGGTCTGTGGCCTAGTGGGGAGCTGCCAATTTGCAAGTTGCTGATTGTATCCCCCTCGCGCCTCAGTTAGTACAAACTCCGACCCGAGTCTGCCCCGGAGGCCTCTGGCCTCAGCCCAGTGCTGCCATGTCCAGGGCTGGCTGCAGCAGCACGCAGTGGGGAGGGGGGGCTGCCGTTCCCTGGGGCTTGGGCCTGGGTGAAAGTGACACGCAAAGGGTGGGAGAACGTGCCCCGGCGTGCTGCCCCCCAGCACCCGCAGTGCTGGAACAAGCTCTGTGCTTGCTCGGTGCTCAGAGAGACTGGCAGGTTTGAGGGGGGCAAGGGCACGTTCGGTGGGGTCTGCAAACGGCTGCTGCGGGTGGCAGGCGCTGCAGAGGAGAAGGCTCTCTCCACCCACAGCGGGGGGGCGGAGCATCTGGGGCACAGCACGGAAAGGGGAGTTTGGAGTGGGGTGCTGGGGGAGCCCTTTGCTCTGTGCTGTGGGGCCCTGCTGGTGCCCAGGGGGGCGTTGGGCCGGATGGGGGAAAGGGCTGAGTGCGGGGAGCTGTGGTGCCCCCGCCCGGCACACAGGCCCACGGGTCCCTGCAGAGAGAGGGCACTCCCGGTCTGTGCTGCCCCCATGTGCTCAGCAGGCAGAGCCCCCTGCTCTGGCTCCGCCCCACGCCCATGACCTTGATTTTCTGCTCTAGATACTCCCTGCCACCCCACCCCTTCGGGAGGGAGCCAGCGAGCGAGCCCCCCCCCCCCCAGGCTGTGGGCAGAGGCTGTGAGTCAGCACTGCCCTTCCGATTGGCAGCAGCCCCCTCTCCTCTCCCGGGAGCCGCAGTCACTTAGAGCCAGCTCGGCGCAGGAAGCAGCAGCAATTAGCAGCGGCTGCAGCAGCTCCCTCCCCGGCTCCCGGCAGCTGGGGAACCTCTGGCCGAGGCCGGCTGAACGCACCAGCTTCCTGTGCCCTGCCCGCCCGGATCCGGAGCACCCAGCTCCCTGCTCCTCTCTGTGGCTCTGGGGCCCCAGGCCCTGGCTGGACACGTGCGCCAGCCGCATCGCTCCTTGCCCACGGGACCCCCGCCAATCCCACAGAGCGGGCCTCGTCGGCTCCAGGCTGGTGCCCGGAGTGCAGCCGGGCTGGGCTGGAACACACTCTGTGGCTGCCTTGTCTCCGGACTTTAAATATTCATGCCTTTGATTTCCTGCTAGCTGGTGACGGCGGGAGCTGGGCTGGGGGCAGGGGCTGGCGCAGCAGGCCCGGGAGTGCTGGCAGGCGGCGTGGCAGGGTGCGGGGCGCCGGACTGGACAATGGTCTCTGGGCAGCACGGCTTGAGGATCTCCTGACAGGTGGAGGAGCAGCTCAGCCTGTGGCGCCGGCTGCCTCGCCCACCGGGCTGCTGAGCACACGGCCCCCTCGGGTGCAGCCAGCGGCCTCGCCTGCTTCCTCTCGGCAGCTGAGCTGGAATCGGGCAGGGGCCAGGGGTTGCTCTCCAGCTGGCTGCACCGGCGTGTCCCTCCCTGTCCTGTCCTCGCCACGCTGCTTGTTATTGACTGGCTGTAACGAGTGGGAGCCTGCTGGCTCCTCGGACCCGGGGAGCGCCGGTGCACACGGGGCTGTGTGTCGCGGGGAGATGAGCTTTGACTGTGAACAGACGCTGCTGCTCCCTCCTGCCTGCTCCCGGTGACGCTCGCCCGGAGTCCCTTTGGCTGGGGGCTTGGTGCCGGGATTGCTGGGGCTGGCTCTCCCAGCGGTCATGCTGCGCTGGAGGGGGGCTGGCCTAGCCCCATGTTTCTGCAGTTCCTGCTCTGCAGGGTGCTGGCTGCCCTAGGCTCCTCGCCTCTCCAGGGGGCTGCCACCTCGCTCCCTGCTCCGGAGCCGGATTGGCCCGCCCGAGCCCCTCCAGCATGGATCTGCTGCAGAAGAGTAAATACAGCCACCTCCGGAACGAGTCAGTCTCCTCCCTGGAGGAGGCAGTGGCCGGCGTGGGGTCCCCAGGGTCCCCAGTGGAGTCCCTCGTCGCCATGCAGTCCCTGCCCGGCTCCCTGTCTTCCTCCTCCCTCAGCCCCATGCTGCCCATCGGGGAGCTCTCGTCGGAGTCCGAGGACAGCCCCACCACCCTGTGCTCCTTCTTCCCCAAAATGGCCAACCTGAAGCTCTCCTACCCCGCCAACCTACTCAGCCTGCGGAGCTTCTCGGCCGTCGGCATGAAGGAGGCGGGGAGCCTCGGGGAGCCGGCTGCCCCCGGCCCCGATTCAGCAGGGCCTGTCGCTGTCTGTCCCCAGGATATGAACAAGCTGAGCTGCGGGAAGAAGACGCGGGTGGAAGGCGGCCAGCTCGGGGGCGACGAATGGACCCGCCACGGCAGCTTCGTCAATAAGCCCACCCGCGGCTGGCTGCACCCCGACGACAAGGTCATGGGCCCCGGCGTCTCCTACCTCGTCAGGGTGAGTGCAGCGGGGCGCCCTGGCGGGGTGGGGGAGGGGCCGGGAGCAGGGCACGGACGGGGAGGGGCTGTAGGGGCCCAGCTGCCTGAGCCGCCCCAGCAGAGAGGCCCCTGGGCAGGGCAGTGTGTGGGGAGCTCGCCCTGCCGATCCAGCACAGATGGCACTTTTCCCTTTGTGCACTGCCCTCCAGGATCGGATCTTGGGGGGCCCATGCCGGGCGGCCAGGGAGCAGGATGGGGCTCAGGGGAGACAACGGGAGGGCCAGTTAGGGCATGTCTCTGAACCCTGGGGCGCTGTCATTGCCTGCATGGAGGGGGCGGCCCGCAAGTGCCCGGCTCTGCGTGGCTCTGCAGTGCCGCTGCTCGGGGAGTCCAGGGCCTCAGCCCTTCACCTGAGATTTCCAAACCCCTGCTTGCCGGGGGGCCCTCCTCTGCGGGCCGGGAGGGGAGCTGCTTCCTTTGTGTGCCCAGTGGGGTTTTCTTCGCCTTTCGTGCACCTCAGCCACAGCTGGCTGCCCCTCCGGAGGGCCGCAGGTGGCACCCGGGGGCACACTGTTGTCTCTAAGCCCCTGGGCCGGCGGCTGCTGCGAGTGGAGTGGTGTGGCAGGCGGGGTGGGGGCAGCTGGGATCAGCGTGCCTTCCGAGTCTGCCAGGCAGATGCCCGCAGACGGGCGCTGTAGGAGGCAGTCAGCCCAAGGCAGCTCTCCAGCACACAGCTGCTCCATGGAGAAGTGTTGCCAGGCTCCCTCGCTTGCATTGGCACCGGCCTCTTGAGTAGCCCTGGTGCCCGTGTCCCGAGGCAGCCTCGTGCGCTGGGCCAGGAGCCTGTCGGGCACGGAGGACTTGCCGAGCAGATGCAGGTGGCCAGGAGCCTTCCCCCTGCCTGTGACCCAGCACAGCCCGTCAGACCCGCTCCCAGCCGGGGGTCCCTCCCGTGGTGCCCGGCACCCCTGGTCACTCCATGCAGGGACCCCTGCCCTCCGTCCCACGGACGTTTGGTTTGGCAATGGGGGGCTTCGTCGGAGCTGCCTCTGGAGACTTCAGCTCCCAGCATGCTTTGCTGCCTGGCCACTCGCGCGGAGGTGGAGCACTGCATGCTGGGATCAAAGTCTCTGGGCTGCGCCATCTGCTGGACCACCCTTTACCCCCACGTGCCTTGAACGGGGCATGCCCAGCCATACCCACACAAGGAGGAGTCCGGTGGCACCTTAAAGACTAACAGATTTATTTGGGCAGAAGCTTTCGTGGGTAAAAAACCAATTCTTCAGATGCATGGAGTGAAAATTACAGAGCCAGGCATAAATATACTGGCACCTGAAGAGACGGGAGAACCAGTGTTGGCAAGGCCAATTCAGTCAGGGTGGATGTGGTCCACTCCCAGTGACTGATGAGGAGGGGTCATACCTGGACCCAATCCATGGGTGCTGCGTAAAACCTGCACGGGGCCCTAGGGACAGCCCCCAGGACATGCTGGTCAGCCTCCCACACTGGCACCGCAGCACTGGTGCCATGCGGCAGAGGGCAGCACCGAGCCAGACTCGCATGTGCCTAGAGTACAGTACCCCAGCTCTCTGCTCCGAGAGACGCCCTCAGCCGTGGTCCTCCTGGCCGTCTCCCTCCATGGTGTGTGCTCAGCCTGCAGAGCCACGGGCGTGGTGGGGCACTTCCCCCTGCGTACCAGCTGGGCTGGCCTTTTCCTGTTTGCCTCATGCTTTTCAGCTTGGCTGGCCACCCTGGTGCCTGCTACTGAGTGCTGCCTCGGGGGCTGGGGCAGGACCGGGGAAGGGGGCTCAGCTTCCCACACCCAGCTCTGCCGGGCAGCCCCCTGCTCCCCGCAAGCTCTGCTGACGCAGCTCACAGCCTGGGTGTGTCTGTCTAGAGTATGTGCAATGCATTTGGGGCACCCAAGGGATGCTGGGTTCCTCCTAATAACTCCCTGCGATGCCTGGGCTGGGGGCTGGATGTGTGCAGTGGCTGAGCTGCCCTGGGGCCAGGGGTGTGTGCAGTGGCTGAGCTGCCCTGGGGCCAGGGGTGTGTGCAGTGACTGAGCTGGCCGGGGGCTGGATGTGTGCAGTGGCTGAGCTGTCCGGGAGCCGGGCGTGTGCAGTGGCTGAGCTGTCCGGGAGCCGGGGGCTGGGTGTGTGCAGTGACTGAGCTGCCCTGGGGCCAGGGGTGTGTGCAGTGACTGAGCTGCCCTGGGGCCGGGGGCCAGGGGTGTGTGCAGTGGCTGAGCTGCCCTGGGGCCGGGCGTGTGCAGTGGCTGAGCTGCCCTGGGGCCGGGCGTGTGCAGTGGCTGAGCTGCCCTGGGGCTGGGGGCTGGGTGTGTGCAGTGGCTGAGCTGCAGCAGGGGTGGGTTTGGCACCACAGTTTTGCTGGGATCTGTGTGGTGAAATCCCCCAGGGGATGCCTGGGGGGTGTTGGCATCTCAGGGATGGTGCCCCAGAGCCAGGCACCAGCCCAGAACCCTCCCCTAGAGAAACACAGGGAGGAGGGTTCTTTAGCGCTGTAGTATTTCTGCTCCACACCTCCCCATGTGAGCCCACGGGGGGTCGTGGGGAGCCGTGCATGGCCCTCGATGAGGCCAGCCAGTGCCCCTGTTCCACCCCTGCAGCTCACCCTACAGAGCTGTGGGGCTGGGGGGGGCCCCGAGTGCTGAGCTGGTGCAGGGGCCTGCCAGCATTGGGGCTGGCGGGAGGGGCTGGGCTGTGCCATTGGGCTGACCCCTATCCTGCCGTCTGATGCGCTCTCTCACTCTCTCTCTCTCAGTACATGGGCTGCGTGGAAGTTCTCCAGTCCATGCGGGCGCTGGATTTCAACACCAGGACTCAGGTCACCAGGTGAGCCGCAGGCGCTCGGACGCTGGCTGTGGGCAGAGAGGCCTCACGCTGGGAGGTGCACCCGCACGTACCCCCTGTGCTGATGCCTACAGGCCCGGAGGGTGGGTTCTGACCCAGTGCCCTGCGGCTGAGCTGAGCTCGGGGGAGCAGGGCGGGAGCCACTCTGGGCCCAGAGCATGTCCCATGGTGCCCCTGCCCCCCACCGGTGCTGCTGGGTGGCAGCTGCCAAGGAGCATGCTGGGGTCTGAACGGCAGCTGCAGAGGCGGTGCCAGGGAGACCGGTGCTTCCAAGTGAAACCAGACGCTCGCTCCAGCCTCTGCCAGACAAAGGAGGCCCCGGCCGCATCCCCCCCCCCCCCCCCCCGCCGGGCCCCCCCCCCCGCCCCCCCCCCCCCCCCCCGGCTGGGCCCCGCTGGGCCAGCCTGGAGAGGATGGTTTGGGGACTCTCAGGATGGGAGTCCCTTCCCAGCCCCTGCCCCCTTTCTGCACCCAGCCCACGACCCTTGGCCCCTTTGCGCAAGGCTCGTGTGTATGAACGACTGCACCCTCTTTGGGGGGCAGGGCCGATCCCCCTTGCAGAGCCGCTTCCAGGCCTTGGGCTAGGGGCCTGTCTCCTTGTAGCTTCGCTCACCCCATCTGTGCCTGCCCTCCCAGCACTCGGGTCTGTGTGTCACCGGGCCCTGAGGGAAGGGCTACTGCGGGGGGCTCATCGGGGGAAGTGGCTGGGGCCTGGCCGCTCCCTGGGGCTGCCCTGACTTTGCCCTGTGGTCCCCGCAGGGAGGCGATCAGCCTGGTGTGCGAGGCAGTGCCCGGTGCCAAAGGAGCCGTCCGGAGGAGGAAGGTAAGGCCAGGCCGAAAGGCAGTGCACTCTGGCCGTTGGAGCAGGAGCCCAGAGTCTGGGCAGTCCTGACGCTGACTCCCTGGGGCCAGGAGTGGGGGTGCAGAGGCAAAGGGCCAGGACTTGGCTCCTTCGCCTCGCACACACTTATGCTCTTACCCACTTGCCCCAGGGAGGCAGGAAGGACCAGCCCCCGCTCAGCTGGGTCAGAGCTGGGATTTGACCCCGGGTTCTAGGAATCAGGCAGTGCTGGTGTCTGGCAGGAGGCTTCGGCGGTGAAACTGGGGGCTGAGAAGCCCTTGTGTTTGCAGAGGGGGAAGGGAGGGTGCCCGTGCATCCCCCTGCTCCCCCCCTCATCTATTGGAGCAGGAGCCTCCAGCCCCTGTGGCTGCCCCTGGCAGTGGGATGGCAGCCACGGCTGGGCTGGGATAGGCCCCCCGCTGCGGGGGGCTGATCAATAGCGGCCCTGTCTGGCGCTAATGGAGGAGCGAGGCTTCCCCCGCTCAGTGCACAGGGCGCCCTGCTGCTGGTTAATGGATGTGAGGTGGGGGGAGATCGAGTACTAAGCCAGGCCGGAGGGGCTGGGCTGCTGCCTTTCTGGGACGGTGGGGCCTGCACGGGGGCCGGGCTGCGAGGGAGCTGGTGTGACTGAGCCCAGGGCCTTGGCGCACTCTGCTGTGGAGAGGCTCCCAGGTCGCTCCGTGCCAGGCCTGGGGCTGCCTGGGGGTGGTAGATGCGAAGTGCTGAGCCCTGGGCGCTCGGGGGCCCACCTGGGCAGTGAGGGGGGGTCTCGGCCCCAGCCCCCTAGCGGACGGTCTTTTGCTTCCGCAGCCCTGCGGCCGCTCACTGAACTCCATCCTGGGCAAGAGCAACCTCAAGTTTGCCGGCATGCCCATCACCCTCACAATCTCCACCAGCAGCCTCAACCTCATGGCGTCCGACTGCAAACAGGTGAGACTCGCCGGGGCCCAGAGCACCCTCCCCGCCTGCTCTGGTTGGGGAGCAACCCGCCCCTGCCTACCCAGTCTGCAGCTCCGCTCCCTGTCTACCTGGGGGACACAGGCCAGGCCTGCCCCTTGCACCCTGTGTGCTGGGCCCCCTGCAGAAGGTCACTGGTTCGACCCAGGCCCATGACGCCACAATACGGGGCACTGTGCAGGGCAGGTCCATGGCTGCCAGCTCCGGGGGGGTGTCCAAAGGCCAAGTGGAGACCCCACGTCACTGGGGGTACCTCCCCCCCACAGGCATCCCTGGCTGGGCAGAGCAGCCGGGTGCTGTGTCTAACCAACGGCTCTCTCTTCCCCACAGATCATCGCCAACCATCACATGCAATCCATCTCCTTCGCCTCAGGGGGGGACCCGGTGAGTAAGCAGCTGGGGGCCTTTGCTCCGTGTCCAGGTTCCCCTGATGGCTGGGCTCCATTCCACCTCCGCCCAGGGCTCCCTCAGGGGGGAGGGGGGCTCTCCCCCTCGGCTGGCCCACTCGTGGTGCCGTTCTGACCCAAGCCCCTGCATCTGGCCGGCACCCCCCTTACTGCCCCAGCAGGGGTGAGCCGCGCCAACAGGGCTGGCTAGCAAAGCAGGGCCGGGCTGGTGCCCTGGGACATCCCCCTGGCCTCTCATCCTCACACTGGGACTGGCATCGGTGTGCTGAGCACTAGGCTGTGGGCGACGGGTAGGGGTGGTGCGCCCCCCCCCCCAGCACCTGTGCTGCCACCACCTCACCCGCTGCATCTCCCCCACAGGACACTGCAGAGTACGTTGCCTACGTTGCCAAAGACCCCGTCAATCAGAGAGGTGAGTGACTCGTGCCATTTCCTGGCCGGCTGGCGCAGCCATTAACCCCACTGCTGCTGGATGCCTGCCTCGGCCCCGCGCTATCCCCCAGCCAGCCGGGGCCACGAGAGCTGGGTTGGCCGCCCCCCTGCACTCCCCAGGCTGCGCTCGCAGAGACGCCCTGACTGGCTCTGGGCCTGCAGCAGCAGTTGCTTTGCTGGGGCCCTGCTGCCAGGGGTGGGTGTAACGAGAGCCTGGCAGTGCCGTGTGCGTGTGCGTACGTACGCATGCGAGGTCCCTCGCTCTGAGCCCTGCCTTTGTTCCCCCTCCAGCCTGCCATATCCTGGAGTGCCCCGAGGGCCTGGCGCAGGACGTGATCAGCACCATTGGACAGGCCTTCGAGCTGCGCTTCAAGCAGTACTTGAAAAACCCCCCAAAGCTCGTAACTCCCCATGACAGGTATGGGGGGGAGGCAGTGCCTCAGAAGGGTGCTGCAGGGTGGGGGAACACCTGGAGCTCCCTGGGCGGCTGGCGGGGCTCTGGGCAGGATGCACTGGCTGAGACAAGGAACACCAGTGCCCTTGGTGAGGCGCCGGGTACTGAGCCAGCGGGGGGAGCGCGGCAGAGCTGGGGCGCATTGCCGCTCACCTAGTGCTCCCTACCCCCTAGGATGGCTGGGTTTGACGGCTCGGCCTGGGACGAGGAGGAAGAAGAGCCATCGGACCACCAGTACTACAACGACTTCCCCGGCAAAGAGCCACCCCTCGGGGGCGTGGTGGACATGCGGCTGCGTGACGGCGCCAGCGTGGCACAGACGCCCAATCACCTGGGGGCAACGCTGGTAAGCACTGCTCGTGGGGGGCGAGGGTGTCGCTCCCACCAGCTCGTCCCACTGCACCCCTTCCCAGGGCCGTGCCAGGCGGGTCCCTTGGTGCCAGCTCGGGGGGGAGCTGCCATCCCCAGGGTGCGGCCAGAAAGAGGGGAAGCAACTCAGGGCTGAGCTGCGGGCCTGGGGCCACCTGGCCAATGAGTCCCTCTTGCTTGGTCAGACCCCAGGGTGAGACCTGGCAGGGTACGTCCATGCACAGGGGACACTGCCTGTTGCCAGTCAGCAGTCGGAACAGGATGGGTGGCAGATGGTCAGGCTGGAGGCCATGGAGCTGGGCGCTGTGGGCACGGGGAGGAGAAGGGAGCAGTCTGAGCCTTGGCTACTCACCGCCTGTCTCTTCCTCCTGCAGCCTGTGGGCCAGATGTCCAGCGCAGAGCACGACCCCCGGAAGCAGCACCCTCCTGCCCAAGGTACCGGACCACACACAGCTGTGCCACAGGCTCCCTCGCCCACCTGCTGGGGGGGCCGCCTGGCACGGCGCGGCTCGGACACCTCACTGCCCCGCGCGGCAGTGCCAGCTCTAGCATTGCCTCCCGGCTGCCCTCCGCAGTGGGACAGGCTAATCTCTGAGCATCCCCTGTGTGTGCCAAGGCCGGGAGCCGAATGCCCCAGGGCTTTCATGTCCCTGGGGCCGGTTCTGCATCATCTTTGGGCTTGCCAGGATCACATGGAGCAAATCAAGGGATCCCAGCAGAGTGCGGGGCTGCCCCCAGCTGGGGTCTCTGCCGGCAGTCCCTGGGGTAACCCAAGGCCCAGCAGGGGGGTGTTGGACCCTGTAGCTGAGGTGGCGGGGGAGGTCTGGCTCTCGGGCTGGCAAGCCCTGCTAACTGCAGCTCCCCTCCATGCAGGAAGGGATAAATACGCCCCCGGCGCCGGCCCAGCCCTCCGCACCGATCTGTTTGACGACCCGTCCTACGTCAACGTGCAGAACCTGGACAGGTCGCGCCAGGCCTCTGCCGCCAGCATCCCGGGCACGGCCAACGGCAGTGCCCAGCGAGACCTCTTCGACATGAGTGAGTGGCGGTTGGCCCGTCCTGCTGGCATCTGCCCCAGCTCTGGGCTGGCATTGACTGGCTCTGCGTGGCGTGGGTGTGGGCTCTGTGTCCATCCAACCCCTGCTCCTCTCCCCCCGCAGAGCCCTTCGAGGACGCCCTGCGTGTCCCGCCCACGGTGCCGGTGGGGCTGCCGCCGGCCCAGCTCCTGGCCTCCATGGAGGAGCAGCTGCGGCGGGAGCCCTGGTACCACGGGAAGATGAGCCGCAAGGAGGCGGAGAAGCTGCTGAAGGTGAACGGGGACTTCCTGGTGCGGGAGAGCACCACCACACCGGGCCAGTACGTGCTGACCGGGCTGCAGGGCGGGCAGCCCAAGCACCTGCTGCTGGTCGACCCCGAGGGAGTGGTGAGTCGGCCCTGGGGCCATGGCGGGGGGGCTCCCTTCCCCAGTCCTACAGGCTTGGCGCTCGAGGGAAGAGCTGGGGTGCCGGCTGGGCTGCCCCCCATGGGCTCCTGGGTCCTTGTGTGTGAGAACGATTGACAGGAGCCCTGCCCAGCTCCAGCCTTGGCTCCCGCTCAGCCCCATGGGCCCTTAGTCGCCCCCCCGCCAGAGGTGGGTATGGCCACCCCTCCCTCCTGGAGATGCCTCAGCCAGGTCCTGCAAGGGAACCTCTCTGCGAGGTTTGTGCTGCCATGTCTCATTTGGTCACAAGAGGGCGCACGTGCCTCCTGGTTCCACCCACTTCCTGGCCATCCCCTGAGCCCCGTTTCTGGCCCCTGCAGGTGCGGACGAAGGATCATCGCTTTGAGAGCGTCAGTCACCTGATCAGCTACCACATGGACAATCACCTGCCCATCATCTCGGCGGGCAGCGAGCTGTGCCTACAGCAGCCCGTGGAGAGGAGACTGTGAGGCGTGGGTGGCCTCGGCGGAGCCCCCCAGGCCCTGCCCACCCTGGCCTGCTCATCCCCTCTCTGCCAGCAGGGCTCTTGGACTGTTTCAGCCGCTGCTTCCCCAGGAGGCCCTGGGGCTCCCCGTCTCTCCGCCATGAGCTCAGACTCCCTGGGCTCACACCAGCCCCTCCGGAGACAGAGCAGAGGTGGAGGTGGCCGGGGGAGCCGGGGCTGGGCAGAGGGCGGGGGCCTGTTTCTGCATCCAGGGAGCTGCACCAGCCACAGCTCCACCTCTGCTAGCACCAAACTCCAGCCTGGGCGGCTGTGTGCACTGCTCCGAAGGCCAATTGCAACCACACACACTCGCCCTCGCCCCGCGTTCATCCCCCCCCTCGGGCAGGGCGGGTGGGAGGGAGCCTGCCCTGACCGCCGAGTGCCTGCTGAGCCTCTGTGAGGAAGGTGAGGGTCAATCCTATTGGCTCAGAGGCCTGCCTGTCTGGAGGTTGCAGAGCGCTCCTGGCCCCCGCCCTCCCCGAGAGGCAGCTCACCCCAGCAGGGAAGGGCTGGATTCTCATCTGCCGTTCCCCTGCAATCCCTAGGGGCCAGCACCCATGGGTGGCACCACCTGCGTGATCCCTTTGGGAGAGCCACCCGCACCACAGAGCAGCGCCATGGCTCTTGCTGCACAGAGCGAGAACAAGGGAGATTTTCCCCAGAGGGTGGGAGTGGAGGGCCCCCTGCCCTCCCCAGGTGAACCCGGCCCTCTGCTCTGCGAAGCCCAAGGCTGGGCCGGCCGCACACCGAATGTACCCGATCACTTTACGTATTAACTCTGTGCCTTGACCCTCCACAGGTCCCAGATACTTATGCAAAGCAGTTGGCCCTGGGGCGGGCTAGGGAGAGCAGTCAGCCCACCCTGGGAGCACAGCCCCTGTCCTCACGCAAGGCTCCCAGAGGCCACAGCCAGGCCTGGTCCCGCCTGTCCTGCTGGCTGGAAGCAGAGCTCAGGTGGCCCCTTCTGCAGCAGGCTGCTCACAGTCCCACTCCTCATCCTGGAAGGCAACTCCCAGCCTGTGTCCAGGGAGGGGCATGGATGGAAATGAGATGGGGTAAATGGGGTTCTCCATAAGCGGGCAAGAGCCCCTTGGCCCCCCTGCCCTTGGAGGGGAGCAGTGCTATACACTACGCCCTTCTGCCCCTTGGGCAGGGTGTCACAGCCAGTTCCCTGTACTCCAGCTCGGTCTGGGCCAACCACGCAGCCAAAGGAAGCACGTAGCACCCAACAAGATTGCAGCCGGAAGGGGGGAACCAGAACTCCCCACATCAGGGGACAAGACAGCTGGCCTGAGCCCTGCTGCTGCTCCCCAGCCAGCGCTAAGCAGTGTCCGCCGGGAGCAGCCTCCTGGGCTTCCCAGGCTCTGCTGCAGTGGCAGGTGAGCCCTCTCCCTGCAGGGCATGAAGCCTGCCCGCCCCTGGGTCTGCACGGTGTGGGGGGATCCCAGTGTTGCATGCACATTGTTCTACTCTGACGCCAAAGTGTAACCCTCCCCCTCACGCCTCCTGCTCCCCCGAGAGGAGTCAGCCTGGGCTCAGAGGGGGGAGGGTTTTGCTTTCTCCCCTCCCCCTTCTCTCTTTCTCCTTTATATGGGTTTGATTTGTTACCAGGTCTTGATTATACCAAAGGAATTGGATGGTTATTATTAAAGTTAGTATTTCTTTAATGCATGGCTGTGAGTGGCTCCTCGTCTGACATGAGGGGAGGGGTCCGTGCAGGAAGGTACATGCTGCATCTGTGTCCAGCAGCTGCTCCTTATCCAGGGTACACGGGGCGTGTGCTTGGCTGAGGGGTCTCTGAGCCAGTGGGCTGATGCTTTGTCCCTTGGGCCCCAGCAGCCCCTCTCCTAGTGTTATACCAATAAAAACTAGCAGGATCTTATTAAAGGGGACAAGATAAAGATGCCACATTTATTATGATAATTTGATTTATGACCAATAACTAATATCTTAATCCTTTATACACACACATTATACCTAATACCTATACATACACACACACACACACACACACACACACACACACACACATCCATCAGATGTTCTGCAGCTGCTGCATAGTTACCAGTCCTGCTTGAGTCTATGGCTTGAGTTTGCAGCTTGGGTTCGTAGCCAGGAAAGCCGGGCACAAGGACGAGCTGGGTCTCTGTTGGGCGCACCGATGCCCTTCCATGTTGGCAGCAGAATGTTACCCTCCTCCAAAGTCTCCCATCTCACCCATCCTTTTTGTAGGCTTTAGTTTGAATCCAGAGTCTATAGGTCTTGTTGTGTCACGCTGCCTCTGGGTTTGGTGATTGATCACCCGTCAATGGCAGACATGACTTTCAGCCTGGGACCGGGCTTTGATCTTCCTTCTATTGGACCTTTTCTTTTTAGGGTGGATTCTTCTTACTTTGTTAGGGCTCTTGTCTGCATCTTCAGCCATTGGTGTTTGAACTCTATTTAATCAGGACAGGCTGGGGCTGGAGGTTGAATCCATCATCCATACATCCCTCATTCACACATCTAAACTAATAAGATTACAGCAGGGTTTGCAAAAATGAAGGTTGCAGCAAGCCCTTACAAAATGGAGTAAGCGTTGTAAAATGGGGTTTGAATTACAATATGGCAAACAGTGAACAGAAGTTACACTGTAGGCAAGTGTAATAAATGGTGAACAGAAGTTACAATACTGAAACAGTGCAAGTCTCAGGCTAGGTCTACACTACAGCGGGGGGTCGACCTAAGATACGCAACTTCAGCTACGTGAATAGCGTAGCTGAAGTGGCGTATTTTAGGTCGACTTACCTGGCTGTGAGGACGGCGGCGAGTCGACCGCTGCCGCGCCGCTGTCGACTCCGCTACCGCCTCTTGCCGCGGTGGATTTCCGGAGTCGACGGCAGAGCCATCAGGGATCGATTTTATCGCGTCTTCACTAGACGCGATAAGTTGATCCCCGATAGACCGATTGCTACCCGCCGATCCGGCGGGTAGTGAAGACGTGCCCTTAGTGATTTAAGCAGGAATTGGATTGATAGTGAAACTTACAAAGGCAGCTGACTGAACAGCTAGGGCTCTTAACAAGCATCTTAATTGTTAATTAGCCAGTTACTGGGGTAACCAGTTTTATGAATGAATATTGTTTCATTCATAAAACTTTACTTATGAAGTTACATTAATAAAGTGAACAATTAAAAACAATTTCATTCATCAGTTCTACACTAGGCTCTTAGACCCTCAGCTTTACATGGCCAGTAACTGCCCCTGCTCGGCCTCCCCTGCCCGAGCTCTCCCCGTCGGGCGGCTGCAAATGAGGTAACATCCCAGCAGCGCGGCGCCCGCCCCAGCCCTG